CTCTGAGCTGTCAGCACAGAGCTTGACACGGGGCTTGAACTCACAAATTGCGAAATCATGACCTGGGTCGAAGTTGGACACTTAACTGACTGAGCCAACCGGGCGCCAAGCGTCAGCCTCTTGATTTCAGCTCAGATCATGATCTCAGGATTGTGGATAGAGCCCTCATGGGGCTGAGTGCTGATAGCGTGGAGTCTGCTTGGGATGCTCTCTCTGTCTCTCAAAATAAATAAACATTTATCAAAAAGAAAAGAGTCTAATTTTAAAAAGTAACTAAAAAAATAATAAAAACCCTTGGAACTTCCTGAGTGGCCAGACTGTCTTTGTTATGCTAATGAGGGCTGAGTGGGCCCTTAGATCGCTCAGGGATGCTGGTAGCTGGGAAAGACCAACCTGGGAGTAGAGGTGGTTAGAGATTGAGTTCTAGTGCGCAGCCAGTGTGCAATCCTGCCTCCCTAGAGTTAACTCCAGTGGAAAGTCTGGACAGCGCCGCTCAGGGGAGTTTCCCGGGAGGTGAACACCTGGATGTCCTGGGGTGGGAGGGCATGGAAGCTCTCTGCACCCCCTTTCAGGGCTTGCCCTGTGCACACCTCCATTTGCCTGACCCTGAGCCAGATCCTTTCTAATAAAACTGTAATCATGAGTATAGCACTTTCCGCGAGTTCTGTGGATTGTTCCAGTGAGTTATCAGACCCGAGGGGGTCCTGGGAACCCCCCTCACCCCGTTGTACCTGGCAGATCAGAAATGCAGCTATCCCAGGGGACCGACCCCATTGCAGCTGGCATCTGAAGTAGTCTGTAGGGGACTGAGCCCTTCACCTGTGGACTCCAAAGCTCACTCTAGAGATGCTGCCCAAGGTATGATGGAAAAGGAGCACGTGTATACAAATGTATGCTCACATTTGAATTATGGAGACATGGTGCGTGTACCCAAACACATCCAGGAACGGGGGGCGTCGGGTGGCTCAGTCGGTTAAGCGTCTGACTTCAGCTCAGGTCATGATTTCACAGGTCATGATCTTGCGGTTTGTGAGTTCGAGGTCCTTGTCCGGCTCTGTGCTGACAGCTCAGAGCTTGGAGCCTGCTTTGGATTCTGTGTCTCACACGCTCTCTGCCCCTCCCCCACTCATGCTCGCTCGCGCGCGCGCTCTCTCTCTCTCTCAAAAATAAACATTTAAAAAAATGTTTTAAATATGTCCATGACCAACAAGAGGGGGTCGGTGCCCAACAAGAGGGCTTACCTGTGTACTAACCCCCAGAAAGGATGAAAGCAAGAAAGGATCCTTTCTCTCAGGCATCCTAAAGGCCAAACCGGGTCACTCTCGGCTTGTACCTCTCCTGGCTGAACCTCCGATTTCCCAGCAGAGGGCGCTCCAACCTCACAAATCCTCCACCTCCGAAAGCTTCCGCTCTCTAAGGTGGGGTGGGGGGTGGGGGTCTGGGAAGAGTAGAG